CGTACATTCAACTCAAAAAGTACGGTTTTTTTTTTTTTCAATAGAATTCAATCTAATCCATATAATACAGTCCGTGAATAGTTGAATTGACTGAATCCACTTTTGCTTTTTGCCTAGATAGTCATTACTTTGAGAAAAGATCCAAAAACCGTGTTTTTGAGACATAGTTTGTATGGGCTCACATGAGGGGGCGTGAGCTTGAAATCGTAGCTGACCAAATGTTAACAGATTTTTTCTGATGTGTGCCAAAATGAACCCAATTAGATTACATTTCGTATGACCGTTGAAAAATTTCATGACACGTTACTGAAGTTCCGTGCCGTGTCTTGAGCGTGAGGATTCAGTATTCTTGCATTCTGATTGGATAAACAGTAATTTCGCGCGCTGTGATTTGTTATTACCGTGCCGTGCCGTGCCGTGCCGTGCCGTGCCGTGCCGTGCCGTGCCGTGCCGTGCCGTGCCTTGAGTATAAAGTTTCAATATTCATGCATTGTGATTGGATGAAGAGTAATTTTGCGCGCTGTGCTTTGTCATGACCGTGCCTTGTCTTGAGCATGAGGTTTCTGTATTCTAGCATTCTGATTGGTTCAAAAAATTCGAGCGCTGTGATTTTCTATGACCGTGCCATTCGTTTTCAATAATGAATGTTCGAATCGAATAATGACTGTTTGACTGTAAAGTAGTATAAACGAGTCAACGTCCGCGATGCAAGAATAGGCACGGTACGGCTAACCTCTACGTGTTCACGTTTGAGGTGGTTTGACTGTAACCACCACTTCAAACTGAATAATGAACAGTATTTTTGCTCTCTGTGGTTTGTAATAGCTTCAAGTCCCGTCCCAYGACCGTGCCGTGCCGTGAACGTGCCGTACCCCGTGTCGTGTTTTGTGTCCTAGCATTCTGATTGGATGAACAGTAATTTCGCGCTCTATGGTATATCATAACCGTGCCTTGCCCCGTGACGTTTCACATTCACATCAAACCAACTCTACTTGATTACAAATAACCAACCTTGTGACTCAGTTTGGTTCATTGGACATGGAGCTACAAGCTTCTCCTTGACGCCTTGTGACGTATTCATACCACAGGTATACCAACGACAATCACTTTGACTGTAGTTGAATATGGTGACAACCATCGTAATCAACGTGTAGTGACCTTTGTGCTCTTGTAAGGAACGTGTTTCGTACTTTGACTGTGGAGTCAACTTCTCGCCATTTAACGCCCAGTAAAGTCTCGGTGGTTGTTTCTCGCTGTTAGGGTATTCCATTTCGCACRAAATTTCAATTTCCTTAGCTTTGACTGTAGGGACATTTGGTACCATCCCGTGCGTATCATTTGGATCTTATCAAGATTTGAGAACACAAGTTTCAGCCATCCCGAGGTTGAGGGTAAGACTGGGTCGAGTTGGCATTGCAGTGAATTTTGGGGCCGTTTAAGGAACGAAATGGCCGCCATTTCGGAAAGTCCCGAAAACAAGCTCACAATGCACTGCGATACCAACTAGACCTACTTTGCCACTCAACCTCAGAATGGCTAATAAACAAACAAGTTGACTTTTAAAGATGGTGCATCCTGATTGGCTAAGCGATTACTGGTCTATTTGACGTGCTAGAGAACTACGCCAGGTTTTAAAATAGTAAAGATAAAAGATCAGTGAATGTATGTTTTATTTCTCTGTCATTTCCTAATGCAGCATTACTCGATCTCATGAGCTAAGGATTCAATATGGGCTGCGCCTCGCGTGATTTATTGGCCCATAGCCCATTCACGTCAGCTATGGCCTAATTGACCCTTTTAGCTTGGCTGGACATATACGTAATGTTTTCTCATTCCAGACCACGTGTCATTCCCTAGAGTATAATTTCTTTGCTTAACAGTTGTGCATGAGAAGACACATAAATATAGGTGCAATTCAAACGAAGAATTTTACTGTCAAGAGAATGACACGTGGTCTGAAATGGAAAAGAATTATTACGTCAAAGCTAAAAAGGTCTATTTACCTCGTCCATGGACTGTCAGTTGAACGTGACCAACAGCGAAAGGTTTTATTGATGTTGTTACTTTTAAAGTATAGTTCCCTGAATCRTCTTCATTCAGGTCGTGTATTGTCATCGAGAAAAGCCCCCGGTCTGTTCCTGGGAAGAACCCACGATTATGTATAGTGTACTTAGGGCTATCGTGTAAGACTTTCCCGTCATAGTACCATTCACCATTAGACAAGGGCCTCGGGGTGTACTGAGTGGAGAAGGAAAGTGTCACGTCGCTACCATGGTAACCATCCACGTGTTGATGTGGTGACGTCACCAAAGGTGAGCGTAGAGTCTTTACTTCTGTAAGCAACAACAACAACAATAAAAAAGATTTAAGATTCAAATAATTCTTACGAGTGGGTTCCACAGCCGCCATGTTGGAGGGCAGTAACAATGCAATGTTCTTACTTGACAAGGTATTGCATTTGCCAAACGAGAAAATTTCTTTTGTTTTGGCCCACAGCTTTGGCTTTTCTCGTGGGGGAGGGGGTACATTCTCCGTTTGCAAGACACGTCATCGCGGCCATGTTGGTGGTATATTGAACAAAGATACCTTATTGGCCTCCATTGTTAACACATGTCTGCCATGTCTTTGTATGCATTTGAATCTCTAAGAGGATATAAAAATAAGCTAAATTAAACAAGGTACTTGATCCTAACCTTTCACTATGAGTAAGAACATTTGTGTTTTAACTTCACGTCCAGCTGAATTGATCGCCCTGCAGTAGTACAGTCCACGATCTTTTAAATTCACTTCAGACAGTTTAAGCTTCAACTCCGTCTTGGACGTGTTCACAATCCTATGCTTGTCGGTGATGATGTTCCCAGGCCACTTGAGCCACAGGAGTGATGGTACCCCACAACTTGCTTGAACTGTGCATGTTATCACAGAACTGTCTCCAGCATCCAACTTCAATCCTCTCGGCTCTACTTGCAGTACTAATTCTGCCGGGAAAAAAGGGAAAATATCATGATTAAGTATTAGTTGATAGAGGACTGAATCGACAGTGAGCTGAGTAGGCTCTTTACTATTGAGAGATTGTGATTGGCTGAGGTCAATATGATACTGATTTTGCTCTCTCCTGATTGGCTAAAGTTTTTTTAACTTAAATTTTGTTCAAGTGCTCCCGGTTATTGTGTCGGCACTGTAATGTTCATTTTTCCTTTTAATTCTTTTTTTCGATTTCCTTTCCTTTCCTTTCCTTTCCTTTTCTTTTGCTTCTAACATCTCACAAACGGCTTGTTGCCAATGGTTACTTCTTTTTTTCGATTTCCTTTCCTTTCCTTTCCTTTCCTTTTCTTTTGCTTCTAACATCTCACAAACGGCTTGTTGCCAATGGTTACTTCTGTTATAGACCAAATTCAAAACTTGCACCGATGTGAGGCTTAAGTTGTGAACAAAGGAATCTGGCGTGATTCGTGACTTTTGAATAACGCCAGATTACTTTGAGTCACGTCAGATCCCTTTGTTCACAACTTAAGCCTCACATCGGTGCGAGTKTTGAATTTGGTCTATAAATTAACAAATTACCATCAACACAGACGTGACGTTGAAGAGTCGATTTGGTTGAGTTGTTTTTCCATGTACGACAAGTATACATTGCAGTTGTATTGACAGGAGACACATTCTGAAGTACCAAGCTGGACCACCAAACACCGCCCTGGAATGACGTAGTGACCACGTGATCTGACACTGATTGGTKAYCTTTCAACCAATCAAATCTGTCCACAGCATCGTCACGTGGTACTGAACAATTCAAGACGACGTCACTTCCTGCGGGAATGCTTTTTACTTGAGCACCGTTGATAGTCACGTCAATATGTATAGCGCCAACAAAACAAGCCAGCAAACCTACAAAAGAATGTAAAACATTTAAATTTAAAACTAAGTATAGTAATTTTTGCAGAAAGTTGCAGAATATTCATGTAACGGAAGTCCGTAGAATTTCAATGTGTTTCTATAACTAAAGTCGTGCATTCTTTACATTGCCATTGTTATYTGTGCATATTCTGAAGCTGAAATGAGGCTAAATTTTAATAAATRAGTCTGTAATCAAGGAACACAGCGGTATTACTATGAATTTGAAAAATATCAATCACTCTTTTCATAGGGCATGACTCTATTGTTCTCGGCGTCATCATTATCGGTACATGCTGCGGTATCAAACGTCTCTCATAATAATCAAGCGCCACTTCTCCGCGCGCTGGAGGGTCAGATAGCCACATCTGCCCAAGCCAACATACAGAATCAATAAGGCACGAGTTATAGTACTTAGGGACAGATCATTATCTTTATGGAGCAGGAAAGGAGGTTGGGGGGAGGGATATTCCAGAGTGGTCAGTGGGGGCCTTATTTTTTAAAGGGATGCGGTTGTATGACTGCGATAATGATAGCGGAAGTAGTGATGGCCAAGAGGACGATGACTTCATTATTGAGCCAGCTAAAGATCATCCAGACCTTCAGAAGTGGACATAAAAAGGGACATTGGTATACGCGATATGCCCATTTTGTTAAATATTCTAGTTAGAACATAACGTAAACTTTCGCCATCCTCCTCGACTCAGCCGTTTGTACATTAATTTAAGTGAGGATATTTGTACTTTCTGCCAGTAAAGTTTATACTAAGATAGTATTGATCCCTACCCCCCCCTCCCCCCTCTCCATAAAAAAAAACGACCGGTCCTCTGAACCGCTAACTCAGCTCTAACTCAGTACTGCAGTCTTGCATTTCCTCAAATTGTCCTCGGAACTGTCTAGATTAGCTCCAATAGCTATTACAATCAGACTTTACCCTGAAAAGACGTTTCTAATTATATCTTGTAAAAGCTCATATTCGATTCAAAAGCTCAAAAAAACAAAAAACAAAAAAACATCTGTCATTGTCAATTCGTGACCTGATCTTACAATGCAGAAGAGCTCAAGAAGCCAAGTAGTATAGCAGGTGTGTGCTTGAATCGTTCACTTTCTGTTAAAAGCACCAAATTTGGTGATAATTTTCAAAGTGCCATCGCCGAAAAAAGYCTTAAGGTGGCTTCCTACTTTTGAACGTTCGATTTGAGCCCACGATGTGCACGCGCTCAAAAACCGCTGAAAAATCTACAAGATTTCATTGAAGAGCCATACGCGTCTTGAGCTTCAACGGGGCAAAACCCTCAAATCTCTTTGTCTTTTTGTCGAAAATATCCATGTATTATTGTAGAATGATTGACTAGCCTTCATTCGTGCAATCATATAGTCTGCAAATAACTATTATCTTATGAGTCTTACTTTTTTTCTAATCACTTCCGGTGGCTCATTTTTTACTCCAAAAGCTCGTGCGTAGGCTTCCATTAAATGCTGAATATCTCGAAAACGAGCTVGGGACACCCTATTTTTCTTTCCAGATTTGGAATCAGCATTAAATTTCAATTCGGAAAATCGAAGTTTTAAAAAAAGTTTAAATCAATTTCCAAAAGTAGGCAGTCACCTTAAGTGCCATTAAGGGGGTGTTTGCAAAGCTAGTGGCGGCCATACTATACATGAAACTGTACAAAATGGACTACTGAAGTCGAAAATATGAATTGAAAAATATGAGATTGTTCTTTTGATTGTTAACGCCCGCCTAAAGGCGTTAAAAGAATGTTACTTGCAAAGTCAGACTGTTGCAGTGTAATGAATGTCTCGCCATTGGCGTTATTGAACTATTTTTGAGCTTACACCTTAATGAATACATGCTTTCCTTCCACAAATATGATTTTCTCTTCACTGACAATTAACTGACAACCAGGTCGGACGARGAATTGATTTATTTCCATTTTATATCAATATAAAGGTTTTTTAAGGTTGCAATCTTTACATGATCTGAATTATAAACAAAAACTTACCCAGAAAATGAATCCTGTAGAAAAACATTTCTCATATCTCTTGAGGCTTCGTCTCTTAGCGTCTTTTATACTCAAGCGGTTATAAAATGTTTATCAATATTTGGATGTCGTGGTTACAAGTGTTTGAGGAAAATGTCAGACATTCAAGTTGTCGCTGATAAAAGGGTATATATTTATAGCATT